ACCTTCAACATTGAGGTGACACAAAATGCAATAACGATTTTCATCTGGAAATTTAATATAACCTGTTAAGATTTGACCACGCAGATACCGTTTTCTCTGTATCATTGGTGTTCTACTCACGTAAATGATGTGTCGTGATTAGTAATTAAAATATATTCCAGGAGAAATTACACTGTTTTGTTGATAAAATATTTGCATGGAAGTAACTTATTATTTATTTTTAAAATAATTTCGTTGACCTTTTTTGAAAAATGATGCCAATGTGTTTAACTGTTGTTTCCCCCCCTAGATGGACGCCAAGAGCGCGTCATGTTCGACAAAATAACCTCTCGCATCCAGAAGCTGTGCTATGGCCTGAACACAGACTTTGTCGATGCGACTCAGATAACGATGAAGGTGATCCAGGGTTTGTACAGCGGAGTCACCACGGTGGAGCTTGACACGCTGGCTGCAGAGATCACTGCCACACTCACGACCAAACACCCTGACTATGCCATCCTGGCTGCAAGGATCGCTGTCTCTAACCTGCACAAAGAGACCAAGAAGGTGTTCAGTGATGTGATGGAGGACCTGTACAACTACATCAACCCCTTAAACAAACGCCACTCCCCTATGATCTCCAAAGAAACACTAGACCTTGTTCTTGAGAACAAAGACCGCCTTAACTCAGCCATAATCTTCGACCGAGACTTCTCCTACAACTTCTTCGGCTTCAAGACCCTGGAGCGCTCCTACCTGCTGAAGATTAACGGAAAAGTGGCTGAGAGACCACAGCACATGCTGATGAGAGTTTCTGTCGGAATCCACAAATCCGACATAGATGCAGCCATCGAGACCTACAACCTGCTGTCTGAGAAGTGGTTCACACACGCCTCACCTACCCTCTTCAATGCAGGAACCAACAGGCCACAGCTGTCCAGCTGCTTCCTGCTAGCCATGAAAGACGACAGCATTGAAGGCATTTATGACACTCTGAAGCAGTGCGCCCTCATCTCCAAATCAGCTGGAGGAATCGGCGTAGCAGTCAGCTGTATTAGATCGACAGGGAGCTACATTGCCGGCACAAATGGCAACTCAAACGGTCTTGTCCCCATGCTGAGAGTGTACAACAACACGGCGCGTTATGTCGACCAGGGTGGAAACAAAAGGCCCGGAGCCTTCGCCATGTACCTTGAGCCCTGGCACTTTGATGTGTTTGACTTCTTGGAGCTGAAGAAGAACACAGGAAAGGAGGAGCAGAGAGCCAGAGACCTCTTCTACGCCATGTGGATCCCCGACCTGTTCATGAAAAGAGTAGAGAGCAACCAGGACTGGTCTCTGATGTGTCCTAATGAGTGCCCTGGGCTGGATGAGTGCTGGGGGGAGGAGTTTGAGAAGCTTTACACCTCATATGAGAAGGAGGGGAGGGTGAAGCGTGTGGTGAAAGCTCAGCAGGTGTGGCACGCAATCATCGAGTCCCAGACAGAAACAGGTACTCCATACATGCTTTATAAAGACGCCTGCAACAGAAAGACCAACCATCAGAATCTGGGCACCATCAAGAGCAGCAACCTCTGCACAGAAATCGTTGAATACACCAGCCATGATGAAGTAGCCGTTTGTAATCTGGCTTCCATTGCACTCAACATGTATGTCACCTCTGAGCGGACTTTTGACTTTAAGAAACTAGCTGACGTCACCAAAGTTATCGTCAAGAACTTGAACAAGATCATCGAGATCAACTTCTATCCTGTACCGGAGGCCGAGAAGTCAAACAAGCGTCACAGGCCGATTGGTATCGGCGTTCAGGGTTTGGCTGACGCCTTCATCCTCATGCGGTACCCGTTTGAAAGCCCAGAGGCCCAGTTGCTGAACATTCACATCTTTGAGACGATCTACTACGCCGCCCTTGAGGCAAGCTGCGAGCTGGCTGCCGAGCTCGGCCCGTACGAGACTTACGAAGGGTCTCCGGTCAGCAAGGGGATTCTGCAGTACGACATGTGGGAGAAGAAGCCCACCGACCTGTTGGACTGGAAGCTGCTGAAGGAGAAGATCGCCAAACATGGCGTGAGGAACAGCCTGCTGCTCGCCCCGATGCCCACCGCCTCCACCGCACAGATCCTGGGCAACAACGAGTCCATCGAGGCCTACACCAGCAACATCTACACCCGCAGAGTCCTGTCTGGAGAGTTTCAGATCGTCAACCCTCATCTGCTCAAAGACCTGACGGAGAAGGGGCTGTGGAGCGAGGAGATGAAGAATCAGCTGATTGGTCATAACGGTTCCATTCAGGTAATCTAGCCATACACATTGTATCCTGGTAGAAAAACATATTTTTGAATTTTCTGTAAATGCCTTCATCAGGAATTTGACTAGACTATCAAGTGTGAAAAAACAGGACCAGTTTAAGTAAATCGAAGGAAAAGTATACTGTTACTATCTTGATATCTTTTTAATGTAATAAATAAGGTTCATGAGCTTTCATGGTATGTTTTTTGTCAACATTTTTGCTTGTTCTTCAGGATATTGATGGGATTCCTGACGATCTGAAGCAGCTGTATAAAACCGTTTGGGAAATTTCCCAGAAGACCGTGCTCAAGATGGCGGCTGACCGCGGCGCCTTCATCGACCAGAGCCAGTCCCTGAACATCCACATCGCTGAACCTAACTATGGCAAACTGACCAGCATGCACTTCTACGGCTGGAAACAAGTGAGTGAGACGGATCAGGATGAAAGAATGACATATTTCTATAAATCTCAAATCGTGTTAAATTTATTTACATTTTTTCTTCACAGGGTCTGAAAACAGGAATGTACTACTTGCGGACGAAGCCAGCCGCTAACCCCATCCAGTTCACCCTGAACAAGGAGAAGCTGAAGGAGGCGCAGGAGCCGGTCAAGGCCTCAGAGGAGGAGATCAAAGAGCGCAACATGGCGGCCATGGTGTGTTCTCTGGAGAATCGAGATGACTGCCTCATGTGTGGATCTTGAACCCGAACACTTAAAGTTTAGTCTCTTTAGAGAGGGTGACTAGGGGATTGAGTGTCACTGATTTTGATGGTGAAGTGTTACATGTTACACAAGTATTTGTAACCTTTCTACTAAACAACTTGAGCATTTTTCACTGTTCACACCCGTTTACACTGCGGTAAGCTCGTCAGAATTTATCTAATTAATTTTATTATAGTGTTCTGTCTACAATGCAACTACGTACCCAAGAATGTATTTTATGATGCAAATAAAAAAAGCTTTGAAAGTTATTAACTTGTGTTTGTTTGCACTGAATGGAGTAAACCTACTAGATTTAAACTGATAACGGGCACAAGACAGGGCTGCAGACGATAGGATAGGATAGTACTTTATTGATCCCCAGAGGGGAAATCCAGGCGTTACAGCAACACAGACAAGAAAGCTCAAATACACATTAAACAGAATAGATAAGAAAGATAAAAAAATGGGTATATATAAAAATGAATGAGGAAGTTAACTGGGGGGAATTGAGAATTGAGACAGTATTTCAAGAGAATGACAAGATAAAGTTATAAGTGATGATTAAAGTGACTTGGTATGATAAATAAATAGCAAGTAATGTAAACAGCAGAGAAGAGAGGCAGTGTTGTACCACAGTAATGCAGAGTGCAGTTATATAATATAATATAGTGCAATATAGTGTAATATAATGAAATGTTATATAATATAGACTAGTATAATAATATAATGAAAAATATATAGAATGTACAGTATATATGTATATATATATATTGACCTAAGTAATAATAATAATACAATGATAATAATGAAGCAGGTCATGTGGGTAGTGTTTTATGGGGGTGAAGTTTAGTGTCAAGGATGGACTGTTACTGTTGTCATAGGCTGCTGTTGTACAGTCTTATGGCAGTGGGCACAAAGGAGCGCCTGAAGCGCTCTGTTTTGCACCTGGGGGGGGATGAGGCGTTGGCTGAAGGAGCTGCCCATCTGCCACAGCTCGTCATGTAGAGGGTGAGAGGAGTTATCCAGGATGGATATGATTTTGTCCTTCATCCTCCTCTCACCCACTGTCTCCAAACTGTCCAGATCCAGACCCACTACAGAGCGGGCCTTCCTCACCAGCTTGTTCAGCCTGTTTGCCCCACAAGCACACCACAGCAAAGAAGAGGGCACTGGCCACCACAGACTGGTAGAAGGTCTTCAGGAGTCTGTTGCAGACACTGAACGAGCTGAGTCTCCTCAGGAAGAACATCCTGCTCTGTCCCTTCCTGAAGAGGGCGTCAGAGTTGTGAGACCAGTCCAATGATTTTAATCATAGTTAGAACAGGATGTTAGTATCTGCTTCATTAAGATTTACCACTGTATGTGGACCTTGTCCCCAGATCAGTTCTTCTGCCAATTGCAGCTGTTGCCTCATCTGACTGTTTTAGAATGTTTAATACAGTATTCACCTGAAAGTAAGGGAGGGGTTTGTCATGATTTACACGTCATCTTAATGCATTAAGATTTGACTGATTGCACTTCAAGGGTAACTTTAGTGAGGATTATTTGATTTCAGGAAAAATTTAATTATTTATCCATTTAAGAAATTATGTAGACTTGGCCAAAAATAAGTGCTAGAATAGACGAATCATGATTTTTTTTTTTCTGAACAAATTTAAAAATGATCAGGTGTTTAATTTCTTCTTTTGTCTTCTCAAAACCATTTAATGCATTAAAAAGTGAACCTGCAAATATTAAATGTATTTTTAAATGAACATTTACTTCTAATAACTTAAATGTTTTAATGTTTAAGATGCCAGAATTCAGCAGTTAAAAATGGAAGTTGCTTTGGTGTGAATGTTACAATAAATCAAAGACCAATGCCATCTTAGAGTTCAGGAATTCTGAGCACTTTGTTAGAACAGAGAAGAGATGTAAAAACTTTCCGACCATGAATAGCGGTTGCACGTCTCAACAATCACTTGTGAAACATCAGAGCGATGACGAGGTGAATATTGTACGACATTAAAAATGAACAAATAAAATCATCCATTGTTTTGATAGTTATTTTAATATATTTTGTATAAAATAATGGAAACATAATTTACACTTTTAAATGTACAAGTTATTACAACCCAAAGAAAACAATATGGAACCACACCTTTTCATCTTTGCACCTCAAACCTCTGCAACATGCAGGAAGCAGTGATGCACAAGGAGGAACAACGACTCGAGAAAATAGAAAAAAACAAAAAAACAATAAATCATACAAATCATGTTTTTGTACAGAGATCAGAAGAAAAGAACGCATACACAAATAAAACACAGTACCCTCTTATCTTCACTATTGTCTGCAACAGTGGGAATGTGTTAAAAAATAAATTATCAAAATATTAAAACATCTAAAAAACAAACCTAGGCATACAATATTACCGTTAACCATAATGCAATATTCATTTGTTCAACAGGGATTCAGGTGTACGCTATCAAAAGCTTACAGTACACATAACATGAACAAAATAGATATTCAAAAGAGGAAAACCTTGCCAGTTTTACAAAGCAAACTAGTGAGAGATGCAGATACTAAAATCACAGCGACACCTGCGAAGCTGCACAAAGACAAGAAATTGTTCCAGTCATGAAGCGAACCTCATTATATTTTTAATCTGTGACGACGGACTAGTAAAGGTGAAAATAGGCTCAAGTATAAAGTCTACTGTTATAAAAGTTGATGTGACTAGCTGCAGGAGAATAAAGGAGGTGGAGACATTAAAGGCTGAGGCGGAGCAGGAGGACAGACTGTTCGTTTTCTCTACAGATCATGTGCCAGTAGAAGGAAGTTTTGTTCATAAGAGGAGTAGGCGTGTTAGCTAAAACTTCAGGGCACATATTACTACATGTCCAGGTGTGGAGAAAGTCTGTTTAGGCTAATCCTGCTAATTCAACATTTTAAAATCATGGCAATAGATTAAAAATTTAAAAATAGTCTTAAAATCGCTGCTAATTGGTTTTCTAATATGCATACCGGTAACTATTTAAAGGGGAACTACAATGACAAATTATCTGCTTCTCAGCCCAAACGTCCACATGGTTAGAGTCTTTAACAGCATCTCGAGAAACCTGAGTGAGGTGGGGTGTGACAATACAACAGTTCCAGTCAGACCAGGAAAAAGTAGCTGATCTACAGAGCAGGAGATGATCATTAAATTCAGTTTGATCAGAAATTATCCGTTCTGACACAGAAAGCTTAGATTCATCCTTTGCAGGGAGGATTTGTCCTTTCAGTCCCAGGATCCAAAACACACTACTACTGTATGAAAAATAGATATAGTACACAATATCGTTAAAGTTAGCAGTATAAATAGTGTAGTTTGTGTTCATTTTGGGTTCTTATCACAGAACACAGCGACAAATCCTCTCTCTCTCTCACACATGCGCGCGCACACATACACACACATACACACACATACACACACACACACACACACACACACACACACAGAGAGCAATTTAGATATGACGGAGCTTCAGTGTTGTCCAGTGAGTTTCATGTACAGTTTCATGTTGATTATTTGGCTATGCAGAGAAGAAGCAATAACAACAATAGTTTGACTTTCTGTCTGGAAGAGAGCGGGATGGAGAGATTGACTCATGGGGGGTAATGAACAAAGCTTAGCTTAGCATAAAGACGGATACAAGGGAGAACAGCTAGCCCCTAAAAGTGACAAAATCTACCCAGCAGCACCCCTAAAGTTCACTTAATACTTGTTATATCTTAGTATGTTTTATTAAAATAGTATGAGGGCAAGATGTCTGCTAACTGTTTTCAAAAGCAGGCAAAAATATTATAATAGTAAAACAAGAAAAAGCTAAACAAAATCTTCTTCAGCAGTTAGCTGAAATAACTAATCAGATAGCAGGATCGAACACGGTTACAGAAGTAGTGACAACGGAACCGGTTACCAGGCAACCCATGGAGTCTCCTGGAAATGACTACAAGGATCCCAAAACAAAAGCCTGTAAATTTAGAATGGACTATCTTAAAGGGTGACTTTATATTTATTTAATGTGTTAGTTTATGACCTTTAGAAGTGCTGTAAAGCTCATCCTGTTGTATTTTGGCAGAGCAAAGCTAACCGCTTTTGTCTGTTTCTAGTATTTATGCTAAGCTAATCAGAGCAGCTTCATAATTAAGGAATAGATTTCTAAAACGCATAATGCATTTGACTTGACATGTCATACATCTGTTTCAATATCAGAATGAAAAGATCATTTCAAAAGACGCAGTGAGAGAATGTCACAGGGATAAAATACACTTTCAGTACATTTAGGTCTGAGATGATGCAGCACTGCTAAAAACAGTGACGATCAAATTTAAAACAAATCACTACACTAAAGATAAAATTCAGTTTATCTCCGAGTTTTAAGACGTGGACTGTTTACACTCCCTGATGGCTTGTTTCACATCTCAGGGACTGTGGTTCGTCCATGTTTACGGAGGAAAGAAGAATAATGTGGCCCAAACGTTTTTATATGACCGTAAACAGGTTTGTTCTTCACTCAGAAGTCCATCACATTCACACACACACACACACACACACACACACACACCAAAGGGAAAGAAATTGAGCACAAAAACATTTGTGCTGTAATGCTTCTGAGTATCTGTACCATCTGTACACCCAAACACACACACACACACACACACACACACACACACACACACACACACACCTCTTTAGTAAGACTGTTATACAATATCAGTACAATAAAGGTCATATTGATACATGAGAATTGTACCTCATCTATCTACAGTACCATGTCTGTAGAGTCTCCATACTTCTAGTGCATTCTGGGAGATGCAGTCTGTAATGAGTCTTTAGTTTTTGGCTGATTTGCTGCAGAAACAGTACTAGGCCTCTCCAGGTGATGTAATGTCTCTTAAACAGTCAGGTTCTCCTCCTGCACTCGCTCCTCTGGCATAGTAGGTAAGTATTTAAACATAGGACAGGTCTATAAGACTTTTCCACTTCAGTTTACAAAAATAAACAGGCTCAGACTACAGAGAGGGAGGCTCCCTGCTCTGTGTGTGTGTGTGTGTGTGTGTGTGTGTGTGTGTGTGTGTGTGTGTGTGTGTGAACAGGCTCGGGGAGTGTTGCATTAGAAAAATCAGGTTGTTTTTTTCCCCTCACTCTCTCTACAGTTTAAGGCAGTCCAGTGGAAGCTGTGTGAGGTGACATCATTGTGACCTTTGCTGCCCCTGTGTGTGCAAGGAAAGAGGATTTGTCTCACAGTCGTCCTCCCTCTGCGGCCTGAATATCTCCCTCTTCTCCTCCTGCAGGTGCTGGTGTCACTCCCTCTTTGAGTCATGTTCGTGTGTTAAGGAGTGAGCCTCGTGGTCGCTCTCGCTCTTGGGGTTTGTGTAAAGACGACTGAACTTTTTGAGCTGCTCGCTGGCTGTCAGGCTCTCCTCCTGCAGCCGCTGGTTGTTCTCTCTTAGGTTGGCCATCTCTGCGAGCAGGACGACTTTATCATGCTTCTCCTGGAGGGAGAGAGGCAGTGAAATTAGACAAAAAAACCCCCCAGAAATAATGACTTTAAAGTGTTACCAGAAAACAGATGGAGCTTATGTTTTTTACTATTACTGAAAAGAGTCATTTAAAAATGCTGCAACTCAGTTATTCGTTTTTTTTGCCTTAGGGATGGAGAAGATCAACAACATACTTCCATCTAATAGCTATTAGTTTAGCTTAGCATCAATAATGGAAACATACAAAAATATTTTTACAAGTTTTATTAAGATGTTACCAATATTTCACGACTATATCATTCTTATAGTAGCTCACAATATAGTTAAAAAAGTGACAACATTAAAAAAATGATTGAGGAACAAAACAGATTAAAGATTACAATATCAATGGCAGGAAAGAAAAACTATAAACTTGTGTAAACTGAGAAATTGTTTATGAGAATTCTTGCACAAGTATGTGCTGATAAAATTGTTTTAATGGTTCTGTAAAAAAACATTTTTGTGCCACATGATACCCTTTAAATTAGACTAACATCAGAATCAGTAGAAACACTGTGAATCTGTTTTCACAAGTCAATAAAGCACTAATGAATTACAATGTGACGGCAAAAGAAAAGAGTGGGCTTTCAAACAGGTGGACGAGACCTCACTGTCCTGTCCTTGGGTTCAAATTCCGCCCAGGAGGTTTTATATTTTTTAACTGTTTAGTAAAGAGAAAATTGTGAAAAGAAATGATTCTCACTCTCTCCAGATCATTGTTGAGCTGTTTCAGCATCACTTCCAGGTGGTAGAGCCGACCAGACAATTCGTTGGGCACCTCGTCGCTGTGAACACACGTTCAGTTCAACTCATTTACCACAAGGGGGCAGTCATGACAAAGTTAAGAAAAGAATAAACATGTATCTAAGGAGTTATTTTTCAACTTTACAACAGTAGCTGTAGTTTGACCTACCAGCTGAAGGTGGGCGTGGTCCGAGGAGTCTGAGGAGTCTGAAACTGGACTGGACTGACGGCTGGTCTCATGTCTGGACCTCCAGCCTGTGGCTCATTCAGCGAGAAGAGGGAGACGGCTCTTTGTGCTGTAAAAAAAAGGACGCATCATTTCTCGATCAAAAAGCTGCACCAACGAGACTTTTAGTCCTTCGGGATACAGGACACAAAACGTCTCCACAGAGGAGGAGCTGGCAGCAGGTAAACTCAGAGATCAAGTGTTGGCTCGAGTCTCTGGAGCGTTTGTCTTGGCTGTGGTGGTCTTTGTGATCAACACTAAGATCTGTCTTTCTTTCCCAGGAGTATCATGTGACAGAAGAGGAGTGAGACAAGGTGAACCTGATCGACCCTCCACATCCAGACAATATGACTTACACTTACAAGATCACTTACATGACGAGCTGTTTCATTATTTTCATCAATCTCACTTTTTTCTTACAACAGAACAATTGTATATCCTTGAAAATTTAGACTAAGAATCACATACTGTATATGGTAGAAAACAATCAGTAGTTATCAGTAGTTATTATGTGCATCTCTTCGTAAAATGTTGAGCTATAATTTCAGCAGAGAGCACATACCTGCACTGTCTGTCTGAGTGAAGCTGCTTATTCAAACATTTTTTTTGTCCAAACACAAAAACAAAAAAACCCACACCCACACCATATATTATATGTAACTGAACAAACCTAATCCTGAAGACTCTCCGGCCTCACCTTCGTAGACTTTAGCAGCATTGACCAGGCTGGACCACTCCAGTCCACAGGCTGTGTCAGGGAGAGGCATCAGCCCGGGGTCCAGCCTCCTCAGGGGGGGGACTTTGTCTCTTACTTCTGTGAGAGACAGCTCTGAGGCCGACAGAGGAACTGAAGGACGGGGGAGAGGACAATGGGTTGCAGAAGTCAGGAATTTAAAAAATAAAAACTCTTGCATAACAGTCTCTGATACTGACAGATTGAAAGCTGGCAGCAAATAACAGAGCAGGTTTGGCAGTGAATATTTAGTTCCTGGCTGAAGTTTGAACTCACCCTTTTTGCTCTGCATGTGTCTGCGTGTGGGCAGCGTGCAGGTGAACAGTAAGTCAGTGGGAGTCGTCTGGTTCTCAGAGTTGGCGAAGCTTGCCTCTCTGCGCCCACTGCACAGCGACTCGTCTGAGAAGGTGCGCTGCAAAGTCCGTCTGGGAGACTGCAGGGAGAAAAAAGGTCAGAGCAAATTTTAAAAAAGGGGAGACAGTGGACTGATAGAAATGGGTGTGCAGAAACTGTGGGTGTGTTCCTCACTGGATCTCTTTGTGGTGTCTCTCCAGGGTTGTCCATGATGATCAGTTTCTTCAGGTCGTCCTCGATGGTGCTTTTGTACGTCCGTCTCGGAGAACGCAGGTCCCTTAGTGACGCTCTGAGTCGAGGTTGTCCAAACACGTTCTTTGAGTTCATATCCACCTGCCTGGTGAGATACGAGTGTCAAAAACAAAAATAGAGCATGTATTCTTTCCTGTGCGTACTACATTGACCCAGATCATTTACCTCTGCAGCACATTTACAGCGAGGCCACAGTAAGGAATTAAACTGTAAAGATTTCATCTGCAGGCGACTGAGGTTGAGTTATTGAAGCGTTATTAAAGTGTTTTGTACACACATCTTATTCTATCATGTTGGCCTGTAGTAGGAAAAGATTTCGATGTTGGGAGAAGTGAAATTGTTGCTCAGGTGGAGATCAAACCCGGGAAACAGCCTTTACATTTGTAGAGGCATGTTTCCTAGTTAAAGTTCTCCGTCAGAAACTCACTTCTTGCTGCTGTTGCTGTCTGAACTGGATGTCGTTGCATTTAAAGGTGATGGGCCTCTGTCGTCGCCCTGCCAGGCAGTTTGTCTGCTCTTCCCTGTCCAGGAGGACTTGGGGGCGGAGCTGGACAGAGGGGTGGAGCTTAAATGAGCTGAAGTTGGCGTAGTGGTAGCTGCTCGGATAGGCCGAGCTTTCTCTGCTGGACTCTTGTAACCCTGGGGTGTGTAGGCCCTGGGTGGAGGGACAAGACACACAGATACACGTGTGATTACTGCATCATAAAAAAGATCACAGGAAGAAATAAACAGAAAATCTGAACAGATCAATGACTTCTTTGTGGGGGGCGGGGACTACATTAACAGGAAATAGTTTCATAATAACCCCTTTGCTAAATTATTTTTTATTGGATGGATAGTCAACATTTTCTATCACAGAAAGTTTAAGGAAAAGTTCAACCTTTTTTGAGACACACAATCAGCATAGCTAACCCCTTTTAGGTGTGTTAACTAGTGAGATACAGAGGGGCCCGAAGAGGTCTTCATGAAAATGGACAGAGCCAGGCTAGATGTTTTACCCTGTTTACAGTCTTTAAGCTAAGCTAAGCTAACCACCTACTGGGCCTTAGCCTCATTAAAAAAATAACACACATGACAGTGGTGCTGATATCCTCAACTAGAGTAAACAGACGTTTGTTTAAAATAATGCTCAACTCCATTAAAACTGAATTTATTTTTCCCACTTTTTTTTTTACCTGTGTCTTTGGCATTACTAATTCTTGTAGCAAAAATGTTCCTTATCTCCTCCTCATCAATCAGGCAATGAAGATAGTGTCACGTTACTGATTCTATTCATCAGACTGCTGAAATAACACCAATGACAGCAGTAGACTTATGAACTTCATCTATCAAGCAACTTTAAATGTCTTTGATTCAATGAACCTATTATCTGCTGCTCCAAAACTTTAAACTAACAAGTCAAGTAAATGACTTCAAGTTATTTATTATTATGGAAGTGTGAGCATTCACCTCACAACACTATCATGTCTACATGTGTGCAAAACAAAACTTGTGATGTATCATTCTCTGTCCTACATCATTCAATGTAATTCTATGTCTACTTTATGTTCATGGTCCAACACACACACTGAGCACAGACTGCAGCATCCCTTTATGGTACTCAGGGTTAAGATGCAGATATTTGTAATCCAACAAACAGAGATTTGACTCTCTGCATGTATCCATGATGTGGGGGTGGGGGGGACAGGTCCACCAGCAGATCACATGATGATCTGTATGTTTCACAAGGATTAAAGCTGCTTTAATCCCTAATGTGCCTCTCAAATATACATGTCCATGCATCACACTATAGTCTAAAAGAGATCTAGTGTCTGAGAATACCTGCTGCTCGCTGATTCATTCTCTAAAGATTCCTCATAAAGTTGACCTGTTAAAGTCATGACCAGTATGCTCATTCTCCGTAAAGCAAAGCAGCGTTAAACTGTGAGATATATGATTGTAAAACGTTCTAGTATAGTGAGCTGAATCTGTCCCGTCACTATCTGAGATTCATTTGAGTTATTATGAGCTTCATAAAACACGCCTTAAAAGATGCATCTCATCGTTTCTCACCTGGGTTTGAAAGCATCCATTTTATCAGCACTGGAGCCAGGAGGCGGGAATGTCCTCGTCAGGTACCCTTTGTTCTGGTTGGCTGATGCTGGTATGATTGGGGAGGACTCTCTTCTCCTCACCTCTCCCCCGCCGCTGCTCCTTCCCACAGACAGCTCCTGCATGCCGCTGTAGGTGACGAAGGAGTGCATGGGCTTATGCGACTGGCTGTTTGACACGTTTCCTTGACGAGCGTTGTTGTAGTGCGTTGAGGCGTCGATGCCGCTGTCGTTTGACCCCCCCTTGTTGAGAAGGTCTGGGTCCGGGTCAGCTGGGTCGATAAGACAACTCCCGCTGCCTCCTCGCTCCCCTCCGGCTCCTCCTTCGAACCAGCGCTCGTCGCTGTGGCCGCTTGAGGCGTTGCTAGACAGAGTGTTGCTGCTGGAGTGGCTGGAGTACTGAGTCTCACCCTGCAGAGGACAAGAAGCCAACATTAAGACACAGAGAGGCAACGAGACGAGTAAGGAAAACGAATAACACGTGGTGATGACAAGACTGACCTTTGAGTGTCTGTTTGGAGAGTCTTTACCCGGGACATCCTGTCTAGTTTGTCTCCTCTGACCTCCTCCAGCACCCGGACCCCGGGAAGATGAAGCGGGGACATGCCAGAGGGGCTCTAGACAGAAACACATACAGACACTCACAGGATTAAAGCAAATTACACTGAACCTCCATGGTCCACAAAGAGGATTAAATGCTTATAGCACATTTAAACAACCCAGCCAACAAGCCGCAAATTACACTGTGGTAACTTAACTCTGCACATTTACACTCAGATACAGAGACGGTGGTTGTCGTTGAAGACCTTAAACACATTCTTTTGTGGCCACATTTTAACACCTATTTTAAGAAAAACTGATCTTTGTTTATATTCCGTTAGACGGAGGGAAACAATATTATTCTTATGGAGTCATGTTTTGATCACCCGATGGGTACAAGTACAAAATTAACTCAAACTAATTTAGCTCAGTTTTTCTGGCTCTACCATCTCCCGAGGGAAATAAGCGACTACTAAGCAGCAAAATGTTTCATTAAATTAAGGCATCGGTGTAAATTCCCTGTAGGCTCATCACTATAAACAAACTCTTTTACACAAGTAGTCATTCAGTCTTTTGTTAGTCTTGATTTAAGGTACTTTAAAGTAGTGCTGCAGGTACTCTTCTTGTTGCACATTAATAAAATAAAAAGAGGGTCAATCTGTGGTTAATGTACCTGTTTTGCAGCGCTCCATGGTGCTCTCCTGACTGGTGAAGCCTGAGGAAGACTCTCCACTGGAGTTCATGTCCACACTGAGGTGGGGCTCATAGGGCAGCAGGGGGCGCTGTCCTGTTCCATATCTACACAGATGGACCATAGGAGGTGGGGGTTGATTAATAAACACACTGATGCACAGTCAGTTATACGTGGAAAAACAAGGAGAGGAGTCAAATTAACTCAAGCACATATTCATACTCCATACATTCAAAGCACTTGAAATGTAGAATTCACATTTGACTGAGCAGAGGACAATTTCAGTTTCTGTTTTGCCTCCTGATGGTGGTGAAAACGCATTTCTGGTTGGGTGAGATGTTATCAACCTCCACACTGTGAGGAAGAGCTGCCCACACAACAGATCCTTCCTCACAGAGACACAGTGTTCGTACACGTCTAAATTCAGACCTGAATCTTCCACATTATTGAGCATGTCTTAAGAAAAGAAGATATGACTCAAGATCACAAAACAGTTTCTATGAGTAACATTAGACATGTTTAATCAAGATCAAACAGAGAAGGAGGAAAGCTAGGAGAACAAAAGGCTATACAAACACACCCCACCCACACACACACACACACACACACATATACACACAGACACAGACACACACCTGTCAGGTGAGGGTTTGTAGCGTACGAAGGGGCCTGGTGTGATCCCAGGTGGCCCCATCGTGGACAGACCGATAAGGCCTGAGGAGGGGGAGGAGAAGCTGGCTGAGGGGTTTCTGTAGGCCAGCACTCTGTCGCCCCCCGCAGGAGACAGACTATAGTGGTTCTCTGGGTAGCTCACAGGCCTGGAGGGCACACAAACAGGCTGACTGTTAGCCAGGAGGTAAGACATGAGTTAGGCAATGAAAATCAAATAGGAGTCATTCTGGAAGTTACGTAAAAAGCACACTGAAAAAAAAAATAGAAAAAGGAATTTCTTAAATGGAAGGTGCCAGGATTTGGTTGTCGTCATTGACTTTAGTAGGGGCTAAAGTATTGTTGTGTGGATACTGGCTAGCAACCAAGAAAGAAAAAGGCAATACTAGAACCTTATAACCTTAAAAAAGTTTAGAAGCCATTCTTTCAAAAGACTAATTTAAAAAAATGCATTGTTGAGCCATAGATCAATCATCTACTAAAAACTTCTGTCCATGTTGGACCCAGTGGACAAAGTCTCTAACCTTCCTCTTAACTCTTTGCTGATCTTATACTGTACATATGTGCTTTTTAATAAACAATCTCACTCCGTCTTTTTCAGTCAGGAGTATCAAAGACATCAAGTACATTCAGTCTCAATATGAATATTCTTTATTATTGCTAATGAATTATGTTATAAGAATCCCAGTGCAGTGTCTTCTGTAATTTTAATGTGAACAAATCAGCGTCTCTGAGTCTCACCTCTTGGAGTTGAGGTGCTGGGGCTCCCTGTAGGGAACGGACATAATGGCCTTGTGTGAGCGTGGCAGTGGAGGAGGCGGGGGACCCATGGGGGCCCAGCGCTGGGCGTTGGGGGCAATGTGGAGCCCTGCAGGAATTGGTGGGCTGTCCCACCTCCACGTGGAGCGAGGAGATGGTCTGTATCCTGCCGCCAGAGGCTCTGGTTCTGGCTTCTGCTCCATGGTCTTCATCTCATACTCCTCAGTGCAACCCCTGAACAAACATACAGGGGGGGGGTCTGTTAGAAACAAGAGGGCTGTAGCAGACAAAGTGACCATACCCCCATCTGGAGGTAAAGCAACTCAATTGTCATTGTCTCATAGAAGCCTCTATATCCAGCACATATCTTTTACACATCATTATTATTTAATTCAGACAGTCTATTGCAGCTGGGCAGAAGGCATCAAATATGCATGGAGAAAGTGTTCAAGACGAGACGAATGCCGAGAGGAAGAGAGAGAGGGGTGATGATAGCAGAGGAGAAGTGGTGTCAAGGTGAGGAGTTAGAGCAAAATCACTGTGTTGTGAAACTAGACAGGAGGGGAGTAAAAAAAAAAAAAAAAAAACAACAACAGAGAAAAGCTGTAGAGTTTAAAAAAAAGAGAGAGAGATGAGGACACTGGAATGTTTTGATTCAAGAAACTATTACAGTATTTTCAAATGTAAGGAAGAGGACATGTACATTTAAATATTCAAAAAACAGCTGCAGATTATTTTGATGTTCATTGAATAAATGATAAATCCCCCCCTTAAAATAAGACTACAGTTGAACTAATGTTCCAATTCCGGCATATTTACATTAATGGGTTTTTATTATGTTGATCAATGTGCACTTTACTAATTGAATTTACAATAAATGATTATCATCAGTACCATGAATTAAATCATAATGACCACAACTGTATTGCTTCAGACGCCAAATCTAATACAAATACAAAACTCTCTGTTAATCTCAGACCAGGCTCACATAAAGACCTCGATCTGTGAGTTTAATTGTCTGAAATAAAACACACATATACATGTCGGTTTGAAATAAGCACACTCCTAGAAAACAGAAAAAGGTGTGTTTAACAAATGTACAATAACAAAAAAAATCAATAAACAGAAACACAACATGTATCAAGGCATATTGATCAATGAAAAAACATGGCTAACATAACCAGTATCTGTAGTAGTACATGCCCAGACCTACACACACACACACACACACCTCAAGAAGCGAGTACAAACCTCAGAGGAAGCTTAGCCTACACATGTTGACATGCAGAGTTTCTTCCATCATACCGTAAAAGGTGACTCACAGCTGGAGCTTCCAAACACACACACACACACACACACACACACACACACACACACACACTGGCTAAACACACCACAGCATCACACCTTTTCTCCACTGTATGCGTCCATCTTGCATGTGCGCAGTGGATTCAGAACAGTGAAAGAAAAGCATTTCCAACTCTCTCCGTCTCTCGCCCACTTCTCTCTCTCTCTCTCTCTCTCTCTCTCTGGTGTTGAAACACGTCCTCCTCACCAATCGTCTCTCTGCCTCTTCAGCTCCATACACTCATCCCTGCCCCTTTCTCTCTCTCTCTCCCTCTTTTCAGTCCTTTTCATTTGCACAGGGCATGCATTTTTAATTAATCACTTCCACTCATTTCTTTCTTTATTTATTTTTGGTGCTCTCTTTTTTTATTCCCTCTGCAGATTTCAGGCCTTAATCTCATGCAATCTGCTTGCCTGGCACACAAATGGGACAGAGAGAGAGAGAGAGAGGGGGGGGGTTGAAATACAAGACTCTAATTATCAACTGCTACTTGAGAGCAAGAGAGAGGGAGAGAGAGAGAGTCTGTGTGTTTTTGCATGCGTGTGTGTGTGTGTCAAAGGGATTTAACTTGGTGTAATTAAACTGCCTTGAACATTAAAGAAATCTAACCGCTGTGCGAGCACACAGCAGGCCACAATTACTGTGTTTAGGACCCCGTTTCAGTCAGAAGCACTCTAGTACACACTGTAGTTATTTCCTCACCTCTGTTACCATACTGTGACAGCAAACCAGTGCCTCATATGGCCTCTTTATTCTGTTTTTTTTTTTTCAAGGCCGTTTGTGTGCAGATGAAAGGTTGGAAAAGGATGACGGCATGGAGAAGAAATGGATTGTGGGAGATGGGGGGAAAAACAGGCTACCATGAGCTGAACAAGATGACAAGATAAGAAGAATTTGCATTTAAACAATTCAGTTCTTTCTCTTTGTCTCTATCCCTCGTTTTGCCTTTTCCTCCTGAAACACATCACCGTTCTGTGTTCGCTCGCTTCCTCTTTTCACACACTCCCACACAAAATCCTCTCCGAACATTGGAGTCTAGCCACTCTCTCATCCATGCTTTTGTGTGTTGGAGTGAGGAGCGTCCTGTGCTTGCTCTTGTCTTTCCACTCCGACTTCTACGCTAGGGGTGGGAATTAGAGGGTGACCCACAAAACGATATAAAGATACAAAACCATCATATCACAATACAGTGATTCTGCGATAACCTATACATAGGAAGACAATCGTATCGAAGAAGAAGACACACTTTATCAAAACAGAGGGGGAATTCTGTTTTTACACTCCATTATTTACCTAGACCAGGAATACACACACATTTACAAGCAGTTACCTCTGAGAGGATATCAGAGGGAGGGGCTTCACACCAAAGAGTATCAGAGCAGTTAGGCGTTTGCTGCCTTGCTCAAGTGCACTTCGGCACTGCTCTGGAGTTACCTGCTACCTCTCCAACAACCAGTCTCAAATACAATGCCTTGGTCCGTACGAGACTTGAACTGGCGACACTTCGGTTCCCAACACAAGTCTAAGTCACTGCCGGCCAAATATAATAATAGTGATATTAAATGACGATACATCATAATATTGACTAACTTAAGAAAATAATATGACCTAAAAAGTGCAGGATTTATGTCACTGCAATTAGTCAGTTTGACCTCTTATCATGCTTCTTTCTTTAATTTCTTTTCACTGCTGTCCTACGATATCCCCTGTCTTCTTCTTTTATCCTGCAATCAACTTTACATTACCCTCATTCATGTCATACCACAGCCAGGAGTCATGTGTGGGGTCAGGAATGTCTGTGTAGAGTGTTGTATTATTTATAAATTAAAATATTCATATTTGGCACATTGCCACCAGCAATTCAATATTTGTATCAGGTGTTACTGTAGGACGATGATATTTTGCTATACCAATATTTTGTTCCACCCCTACTCTGCGCCCTCATACGCTGTCAGCTCCTGCTACAACCTCTGTATCCACCTCAGCCGTTTGAAAAAGAACCACACACATTGTTTCAGCTTCAAAGAAGCACAGCATGCTGACTCTAACACACCTGCGAGGCCCGCCCTCTTCATATGGAGGTATGATGACCACTTTCACAGTGACCGACGTCCTCAGGAGGTCGATCATCTGCTCGTGAGTCAGCGTCACTGCTGCCACCTTGCAGATCTCCACCAACCGGCTGCCCTGTCTCAGTCCGGCCTGCCAAGCAAAGCCGTACTCCTCCACCTGGGAGAGAAATCCACAAAAAAAAATCTTCAAAACAAGCCAGTCATGTGCAGCCAAGGATTTTCATAGATTGTGTTTCAGTTTGAGATCTGACGCAGCAGATGGTCCTTTGTCGTTACCTCGGCCACAGTGCCGTCCAGGCGAACATGGAAGCCCAGTTGTCCGAGTCCGTTTCTCCTCAGAGTCATGTCCACTGTCTCACATCCCACTGTCAAAGACTGGCAAGCATAGGGAAAGATAAGAATAGAAAAATAAACATGACAGCATTATTATACGTGTGGACTCAAACAGACTCCTGGTGTCTTCTAACATACATACAACCATTGAGATACATTAAGGCTGTTAAAACTGATATTCATCAACAACATTATTACTATAAACACAAGTAGCATGCGATAACCCGTTACAGTTTCAACTAGCCTTCTGATACATATAAGTATGGATGCATTCGTTATTTTTAGAAGGATGAACTCCTTCCATTTTTTCTGTTGGATTAACAAAGAGCTCACTTGGTTCCAGAAAATCTCCTGTTCCTAGCATTTAATTCATCAAATTTAACCGGGATTATCACAATATTAAATCTCTCATCAGCCAGTGGAAGCTGTTGCATAACTTCATAGAGAAGGGAGTTTTAAAGTTGCATAGAGAATCTGCATGTGTTCATTCTTAAATGATAATCTAAACAGTCTGGATTAAAGTTTAAAAATGTATTCTTGTTGTTTTTCAGGCCACTCCAAACATCATCCCTACTTCTAGCTTCAAAGTTGCTATTATTATTTCAAAAGTAAAACATCAGTCATGCAATTCCAAGTTTTCAAGAATGGTACATTTCTATTAAAAACAAAATTCAAACATGACAGTAAGATAATTAGATTTGCATTCCCCAAGTAGAGGCCATCCCTAAAATGCATGGAGACATATTTTTGAATTACAAGTCTAGACTTGAGAAAACTGGAAGCTAAAGAACTGCTTTTTTTTAGGGGCGGGCCTGTCAATTCCCACAAGAGAACTCCAAAATAAACTCTTAAAGTCGAGTTTTAAATCCTATAAACCTAAATAGGATGCGCCATTGCGCCTAAAAGGCCACAGAGGATTGAATTTTCTGCTCTGGTCGCCACTATCGTCTTATACTAAACAAGTTCTCACCTTCAACCTCTGCACCACCTCCCTGATGTCCTGTGCACAGCCCTCTGGTACTCGCACTGCGATGTGGTCTCCTCTGCCATAGAAGATCTTCAGTGCCAGCCGCTCCGGTGTCCAGCCAATGACATCGGCACAGAAACAGTTAAACACAACCTCTTTGGTAGAACAGTCCGTGAGGAGGATGTACTCAGCTGACAAGCCCAAGGCACAGGGGAGCTCCGTCCCACCTCCACTGAAGTCCTGGGCCTGGACCCTCCAGGCGACGGCTCCCGCAGCTCCAAGCTCCGCCCCCTCTCTTGCTTTGGCGCGCTCGCGTTTTTTGGATGCGAGGGAGATGAGGTTGTTAAGTTTGCCGGCCGAGTCGAGCGGCGTACTGGTTACGCAGTTCTCAGCCAGGTCACGCAGGTACTCCTGCCGCGTCCGTGTCGCCATGGTGTGGAACTTCTCGGATTTGTGCGCTGCGCTTTCGGCATTGATGACTTTGGCTAAGAGGAAGTTACGGAAGGTTTCTGGGTCCCTGAAGGTGACACCGTTGGGGATGGGTGGACCAAAAGGAGGTACATCCTTCATTCTCGTTACAGCAACACTGAAGGGAAAGGATTTAAAGAGTGAGTAGGGTTAAGATATCAGAACTTTAAACTTCCATATGATACTCGTAAAAAAATCATATACTAACAATCGTGAATCGATAACACTGAAACAAAAATACACTTAGTACTAGATCATTTCTTATTTTTAGAAAAAAATGCAATCCAACTCCTGCACAATGTCTAAGTTGCAAAAATATATTGGCAACGCTTCAGTGCTGAAATGTTGCCGATGTGTTTGTGCAACTTAGACAGCGTTGTCTTTCTTTAAGTCAAATAAACCACTAAAGATCTGCACTTGGTTTTTTTAAGCATCCGTACTTTCCACAATACTATCACTAATTAAAATAACAGAGATGGTATTGTTTTACCTTGGTACCAAAGAGTAAAGACCTTAAATGAACATGTGCTTGTTGTCTTCTATTTACCTGTAACAGGTGTTTTCAGAGCAGGGGTTGTGCACACGCACAATAACAAAGACGTGCTGGAAATGTGAGCGAATGTTCTGGGGGGTGAAAGGTAACGCTCCCGGCTCCTGAAAGATTATGGTGACGATGTCATTCCCTATGTGCCTCTTTCTCAGGAGCTGAGCAGCGAGAGGAGAGATAAAATGACAAATTAATTAAATGACATCACTCGTTCTGACATGACTGACTCAGTCAACAACTGAGAAAGTCTGACAAGAGAAATGAGACATTGAGATGCTCACTGAACAGCTCTTTATGTAATGTGTTTCTGTCAGGTTCTGTGTGGGCTATTTGTGCCTGTGTGTATGCCGGATTGTCAGTCTATCTGTGTTTGTGTAGGAGACATGGTGCAGAGTCCAGGCTGTGAGTCTGTGCTGTGGTGCCTGCCAATTCCCTCTTCATCTGCAGAGAGGAGTGTGAAAGTACCAATTATGTAATCCAGCCCACTGTTTGGCCTCTGATACACACGTGCTGCAGCATGGTGCCACAGGAGCATCCTGCACTTTGACTGAGACTACAGCTCTTATGATTTGGATGATTGTGCTTGAAGAAGTCCTTATAAACATTGACGATGGATATTTGGAGAACAAATGTCTTATTTTCCATTTTAAATTCAACTTGTTTCTGATACCAATGAGTCAGCCGTTATTAACTGAACATTAAAGCCGCTTGACATACAAGAGCTCTCTCCTAACCTGAATGCCCTCACAGTGTTTATTTCTTCTACATTTCTTCTGCTGCTTCCATCATCTGCAGGTTATTTTTAGTGTCAGATGCTGCCCTCTAGTGGTTCATCCAAGCAAGTAAACCTTCTTGCTGTTGCTGTCTCCTGACCTCTGGATGGAGTTATTGTGCAGTTTATTAAAGTACAGTTGATGATGTCAGAGCTGATAACTTTGTGAACGGTTCAGAGACACATCAAATTTTCCCAGTAAAAAAAGGTGCCACCCTCTTATTCCTTGTTTACCCAACATTTACAAGATGTTTAACAAGATGATGTAACTGTGAAAAAAATTCCAAACAAAAGATTGCCGTTGATAGGATAATAGGAGATACACCCACAATACCTCATAATGTTAAAGACTGATGTCTCCTCCATTGCGTGCAATGTTCTGTGATAATGCGCTGACATATTTCAAAGTGTGTACCATAACCCAAAGCCCCCACCCGGTCTGAGCACATGTGTGAGCCTCTCTAAGCAAACACTTACGCAAACTATTAAAATCTACCCACATGGAGTGTTATCGTACACATAGGTCATTCACACAATGCAGCCCACGCTGCAAACACACAGCACCCTGAAGACCACGTGCGGAAGGCTGCTTTATTTAAAGTAGAAAAAAAAAGAGGGAGAAAATAAAGAGACTACTCACTACTGAACCCCACCCAGCTCTGATCAGTTAAAGAATGAGAGGCAGAGAGAGTGAAAGAAAAGGCAAGAGAGAGAGAGAGAGAGAGAGAGTGCGAGCAAAAAAAAAGCTTTAAAGAAAACAAAAAAAACAGAGTGAATAACATGTAGAAGATTCTACATGAAGAGGCTGACACAAGTCACAGGTTTCCACTTGATGGATTCTTGCTGTTGTTTACTACCTGCAGCAAACTGCACTGCTTTAGGTCACAACAACAGAAAGACTTTGAATGGATGAATATATATGATTTCACAGCTGTTAACACTGTTACTCTGAGACTAAAGTAACAGGCCCAGCTGATAGTCCTGTGTTAAGGTGCTGATAAGCTCTCACCTGCTGGGGGTTGTTGGGCATATAGGGAAGCATGGTGGACACGTGGAACATGACCTCGTAGCCCTGGTAGGCGGTGTACAGGGAGTGGGTGCCTGTGGAGTCCGCTGGAGACATGAGAGACTGTGTTCACTGTGATGCTGATTTTAGTACAAACACTTCAAACAGATAGTTTTCTTTAATGACACATGGCTTGGCTGGGCTATTACTTCTGACTCAGAAAACACGAGGCTGCAACTGTGTGTAAAACTAATGGATAGTGGACTGAAGGTATCTTCTTATCCTCTCTCTGCTAAATTTCTAAACCAATTTCTTTATAAGTACCCTCACTGTTAGACAACAGATAGAGCTTTTTTGGACTTCTATTGAATTCCTATTTGCTCATATGACTTATCAGAGGAATCTGGCTGTATGTGCTAACAACTGACTGCATGAAAACAGGCTCCTCTCACATGGTTTTATAATTTAATAAACTGATTCTATTATCTCAACAAACAGGAGATGATAATTGATAAATTATAAAAGAGAGCCTTATACGATGAAATGGAAGTAAATCTATCTAACAGTATCCACCTGAACATGTGACTCATCATCATAGTGACTCAGGTGTTAAATCAGACATGTGACAGAGTATTGCAGTGAATGTGTGAAAGTGGGCTCTAGGGAGGTCCTACTCTTAGTGTCGAGCTGTGCGGCGTATTTGGTGAATCCTTTGAGGAGCACTTGTTCCCCCAGCAGCTCCAGGAAGGCAGAGAAGGCGGGCGATGCCCCCTCGTTGTTGTACATCTCCTCCTCGGTGCTCTGGCCCGCACGGCACAGCAGAACGCCCACCTTGTGCTTCTGACTTAACTATGAGGCGAGAGAGAGATAACATTTACACACACATTACTGAATCCCCACATGCAAACAGAACAGTCTGAGCTTTCTAGTCAACTTAATGACAACGTTGATTTAACAGGTAAGAATGTAGATCTGGATGCACTTAAAGCATCTCTATAAACCACCTACACAAACAAAAACAACTTATCATACTACTTCTGCCTTGTACTTCAGCCTCAATTAAATCAAAAGGTGAGATAAAATGACTTATCATTAAAGCTTTTATGGTTGCACACTCATGCTTAAACACACCACACCCTCCCTGCTTCACTCAGCTTTCACTGCTCTCAGTCTTACTTTGCACTTTGAACCGTCTCTAAATAAGTGATACAGATAACAGAAACCTAAAGACGAACTGTCCTAGCAAACCATATGCCACTGTAGCAGAAACTATATGTCATTTGCTGCTAGATAAACTTTGAACGTAAGAAAATAAAGACCAACGTTTACATTTTGTAAAATACAAACAAAGGCAGAAGACTCACTCCCTGTTCGTCCAATTTGAGGAGCTGCTCGGTGACTTTGGGCGTGCTGACCGCAAGTCTCAAGCAGGAGACACTGAGCTCGGGGACGACCTGCTCCAGCACCTCCTTGAGTGGCAGACCCCGCACTGTGCCGTGCCTCCCCGTAGAGGCGACCGCGTCCTCTAATATGGAGCCTCGCAGGGTCACAAGCTAAATATGGCGACAGAAACACTCTTGTTAAACTAATAGCAATACATAACCAGACATACATAACCAAGTGTCAAGAAACAAGTGCATCTTTGGAAATGTTTTCTGTTTTTTTTTTCCATGTAACAAACAGGTAAAATACTGTTGAAAAAGCTGATGAAGCATATGAAGTAAAATTATTGATAAAATCAGAGTCGGAGATGAGCTACAGTACGCCTCTGGAAATGGAGGGGAGATGATTAGTAGCCTGGGCGCTTAATATGGGTCCATTAGATGAGGGATGGTCTCACTCCTCATAATAGTTCCCTGCTGCCCTGAAGCTACACTTCCTCACTCCATCAAACACACACACACACACACACCCTGTGAGAGTGCTCTGTGTGGAAGATTTGAAGTTGAGTGGTATTGTGAATTAATATTCTGCTCAGTATTGTGCTGCCACAGAGTGCTGCTCCCCGGTGAGAGGAAATTGACCTGCTTCAAAACAGTGAGACTGTAATAACCTGAGATACAGTGAGGGAGGAGCGGGCTGTTCCTCCTCACTGCACTCACACAAACACAGCCTCATTAAAAATGCATGGCAGACTCTGGAGCTGGAAGGGGCCGGAGAGACAGTTGAACCTCAGAGACTCGGGTGTGTCTCAGAGATATGAAGCCTGATTGACACTCGACTGAGAATTGTGGAGCTGTCGTTTCTGCTCGTCAGCTTCTGTGCGACGGTGGATTGAGTGGCTGTTTCATGCAGCGCAGGAATGTGTGTAAAAAATGTGTGATGGTGGGAGGAGGATGAGGGGAAAGAGGAAGTCCCCCCTCCACCTTGCTGTGTCAGCGCTGTTGCACAGAATTAAATGACAGACTTTAGAGGGTTGGATATTTGAGAGCAACTGCGGCTTGAGTGGGAGAGAATAAAGTCTGCAATCAATCTCTTTTTTTTTTCTTCTCCTGTGTGGGAACATTGGGCCTGGGGTGCTGGCTGTGTGTGTTAGCTGAGCTCTGTGTACTTAGATGGCAGAGAGGCTTCATTGTTAAAGCAGAGTTAAGGTGATGAGGCCAGGCAGCCATGTAATCCTTCTAAAACAACACAGAGCCAACCACAGAGAGCAAGACACTACATGTGATGTACACATAACAGGAGCAAAGTTTACTGTTTGATGAAGTAGTGACCTTGACAATGATAGATAATCCTTAAGGTGTTTAAGGATACGTGAAGTAGGTCAAACTGAGTGTGGCCTCTTTAACACAACCTAGAATAAAAGTACAAGAGTTCTGTTTCATTCAAACTAAAAAACAGAAAGCAAGCACAATACTTGTAAAACACTGTCTTTGATCAACTAAATTATTCATCTCAGACGTGGGTGAAAATATTAATAAAACACAATATTGTTTTCCTGACACGTGTAATACAATTATCAAATTGCTGATGTCAAATAAGCAATATTGTAAATTAAAAAAAAAAAAAACAAGATCCAAACAGAGTTTTGTCAGCCAGTTTGACTCACTGCGTCACTACCTCACAACTCCTCATGGGGGCAATTGTGACATGAATAAGGGTAACATGGACCGAGGTTAGAAGGCACTGACAGCAAGACATGGGTGGCACTAGATCAGCCCAAAAGGGACTTGGATTGGGAATCGGAGGGTTGGGTTCAACTCCAGGAATGTTTGCAAGAGAGGTGCTAGTTCTCTTCACAGATACTGAAAAGATACTGAACTCAATCAACCATCAGTTCAAAATCCAAAGAGAACGACTTTTAATATCCCACACGATATTTTTAAGAAAAAAAAAGAACATTTGGCCGATTTCTTCCAAAGGAACTCAAACTAGTATTTGATGATCAGATTAAGAAAAAGGTTTGGTGCTTTTATAATTAAATGATTAAGAAGAACTTTGTTCTCGTAAAGTCTTTAAACAGACCTCAGAAGGACTGCATAGACTGTTAACTGATTCTCCATGAACACCAATCCCTCACTTAATGCATTAGAAGTATTTGATCCATCAGAGTGGAAAAGTGGTTGGGTGTGCTCCCTCTGAGAGCTGGCCAAATGCTTTGGGAAGAGCAGCCAGTGTTTGGTTTGGCTTTTACTGTACTGAGACCGGGCAGGTGGAATTTTCCACTGGCAGAGAGGGGGTGAGAGGGGAGGTTAAAATCGGGACAGAAAGAGGGTGAGGAGAGTCCCAGGAAGGGCTGGGTAAAATGAAAGTAGGAATTAACTAAAGCATGCACACTCATTGTGACTCATCATTGTTCCCAAACAAACACACGCAAATTTGTGCATACCTCGTTGGTTCTGACGATGAGTCGGTACTGGTACTGGTCTTTCAGGTCTTTGGTGTCTTCCAGTTTCTCCCTGCGAATGCTCACAGCCACAGCACCCATCTTATCATCTGTCCCAAAGTAGTTTGAGTGCTCTGGTGAGGAACAAGGACAAGATCACAGTTCTGATTTGAGTTTGTCGTGGAGGAAATGTTATTCAATATTCATGTTTTTGATAAATCTCCATTCCAGACGATATGTTTTGGGTTTGTAATTTCCTAATCGTGCTAATATGACACCTGACCTGAAATTTGGTTGTTACAGCTTTAAGGATATGACATGCGAATTTTGGATCCACGAGGGATTACTGAATAACTATTCTAATAACAAATAAGCTAAAATTGTCTTGCTTCACTGTGTTAAATGTGAAAGTTTGCTGGTTTTCTCAATCCAACGTGATGGTGAATAGAATATTTGGGGCCGTTAGTTTTACAAACTAGTAATAAAAAATAAATCAGTAAACCTGCAAGGGATGTTTTTTTAATTGCATATTGGACCAAATCTTTTGATTAAAAAACAAATTATCAACCTTAAACTGTCAAAAGATAATAACAAAAACAGTTTTCAGCTCCTCAATGTGATTTTTTCCTGGTTTTTCTACATTGTGATCATAACCAGAGATTGCTGGTTATCAACTTGGACCTGGGAAACTATAATGGACTTTTTGTCTTTTTCTCATAATTGTCGATACTTTAAACAACATGATTTTCACGATTTTTTTTTTTTACAATGCTGAAAAACAAACAATTGTACATAAACTGCTACATTATATCAAGGTATGACATCTTGACTGTGTAGTTTTTAAAACTTTAAAACTGACATACAACAGTAGAAATGAGAGAAGATGGTTTATGAAACCTTTAAAGACAAAACAAAGAGAAGAGATTTGCTAGTAAGGAAAAATCCTTGTTAGTGTTGGTGCAGTCAGCAGGACTGACAGAGGAGGGACATTAAGTCAAGGACAAGACTAAGACAATGACGCGTTATCTAGTAATCAATAGTCACATAATGACAAAATCAATTGAGCTGACACAAGGTAGAACCTAGAGAAAAAGATCATGAGTACTAAAGATAGACTAGATAGAGCAGTGATAAATACAGCTGAGCTGTAAGTTTAACAAACCATAAAGGGACAAATATGTCTACTCATTCATCCATTCCAAACACTTTGTTGTAAACTAGTCATGGCATGTGCTTTGGTTTGTAAATATATATATATGATTTATTTGTGCTCCACGCCACATGGTCATGTTCCTGAGCCATCTTAATAAAATCTAAATGAAATAAATGGAGATAATACTCAAATCTGACTCGTGCTTATCTTAAGCTTCAAACTAAGCTGAAGTAATGTGAACGCTGCAGGCAGAGTGGGAGTAAAAGACTAGTTCTCCAAACACTCTGGGAGGAATCTAGCTGGACAAGTTCTCTTCCTCTAGCCCCCCCGCCCAGTCAACATACATGTGAGGAGACCCAGGCCTGTTTGGCTCCCATGCCACGTCCTGTGGTGAAAATGTCAGCTTTTTGACGAGGCTTTCTGACGCACATACACACAATCACAGTTTCGTTCTGGGGGAAAGCTAAGTTGGAAACGAGTGAGCAGATGAATATATTTTTGGAACGATAACCTTTAGCTGTGTGGCTGCAGGCCTGACTCTCCCTCTCTCTTACCCACACACAGACATGCTTGCCCGCACACATGTGCTCCTAACAGCATCTGTCACTAATTAGGGTGCAGCCAGATGATGCCCTGCCGAGGGCAAGTTTCATCCACACTGTCTGAAGAGGTGATGTTGATTTAAAAAAAAAAAAAAATGCCCACATGCGCTCACAGACGGGCACACATCAAATCACGCACACACACCCCATCCCTCTCTGAGGTGAGGTGTTACTTCTGACACTTAAACCAGATGTAAGACAAAGCTTCCCTTGTGGACGCCGTTAAGTGGTACTTGTGATGGTGCAGAGCGGCAGGTGGTGTATCATCAGCACAAAGTTTGCCAACAGTCCAGTGGCAGGTACATGTGTAATAAAAACTCTGGGAGCATTGCCAGCTTGATCCCGCACTCTGCTCTGGCCCAGCTGGATATTAACAGCCGCAGGAGGAAATGTGGGGAATGACACCAAAGAGAAGACATTCTTGGTGTCTATTTCACACATACAGATAGCAGCAAGGGGCCCACATCAGAGTCTAAAATGGGATCAGTATGTATACACATTAGAGCCTGGCACTAGGGATTATTTTCTCTATTTATTATGTGCTCTTATTTTGAAATTAAGGGCTACTATCACCCCTTAGAATCAAAGAGTTACATCTTCAGATCTTTGGTGAAAGGGATACTTCACCCATTTGCAATAAGCTTTGTATCATTAGAATCAACCTGGTAGTAGTTTTGAATGGTCGTGCATCCCGCACTCATTTCCCCTGAGATTGGAAATCTTCGTATTTCTAAGTCTGAAAAGGAGCTTCCGATGCTTTTTTTCATCATCGGAAGCTGTTGCGGTTAGCGGGTTGAAACTACAACGCTAGTTGTTCCTCATATTTAAAACCACTGAAGCTACAGACCAATCACAGATCAGTGGGTGGGAACTCACTACCAGAATCAAAACTTACATCCGCCATATTGCTTGAAAGCTATGCTAACAGGCTCTATGGAGAAAGCTGATAATGTCGAAAAAATATAAATATATATCATATATTGTCTTCTTTAGGTTTTTCAAGCCTTATGTAACTCATTTGAATTGGCTTGTTTTAAAATGTTGCCATGCAAATACAGCTGGAATCAACACATCAATTACTAATTTAGATAAAGATATCTGATGACTGTAAAGGTGTCTCAGTGTTACCTTTTCCATGGAAGTAGTCTCTGTAGTACCTGGCCCCCAGGTCTACATGCTCTATGCTGTACAGTTTCAGTCGGTCCAGTCTCGTCACCTGCTGTTCAATAGGAACCTCCAGCACTGAGACGCTAGCGTTACTCTTCCTCAGCCAACCCCTCAGTCCGTCTCCTCCTCTGTCAGCGCTTCGCTCTGCTGACGAGCTTAGGAAGCTAATGTTACGCTCCCCATGGCCCCCGGTCTCATTGAGGAAGTGGGGGCAGCAAAGGAGCAGAGGGCTTGAGTTGTGGGCTCCAGGAGGTCCGTCCAGAGGTTCCAAGGCCAAGCCAAGGGAGGGTGTAGTGGATCCGGGGTCGAGGCTCAGGGTGAGGTCCTCTATGCTAGAGTAAACAGGGTCGGTCACAGCTGAGGATCTCGAGACAGACAGGGACACTGAAGCAGCTGACGCCCCGGTGGCAGTGTTCCTCCTCTGGGCAGCATAGCCCCGCTGAGCCGCCGCCTCGTGGAGGTCAAACAGAATACTCTGAGCATCAAAGTGGACAAAGCTCTTTGGGCAAATCCATGGTTTGTAGGAGGCCCCGTCCTCATTAGTCTCTCCTTTACCTCCGTCCAAATCACCACGGCTAGAGCTCCTAAGTTTCCTGAACAAAGAGGAGGTGCCCAGCGAGGACTCCGTCCCTCCACTTTTTTTCCTCACTCTCTCTGCGCCCTCTTTCTTTCCCGTCCCTCTGTCGTCCCCTGTGGGACCAGGCGAGGGAGCAGAGGGTAGGGGTGTGCTCGAGTCTTGGGCTTGCAGCAGCTCTCTGAGGCGTGTAGGCGCTGAGCTGCGCTGGTCAGGCCTCTCCTGGTGGAACTGGCTGAGCATGTCGAAGAAACTCTGCTCGGGAATGCCCTGGATGTCGATGGAAGAGGTGCTGCCGTACTCTCTGAAAAGGGTCCCCATCCCGCCACCTCCACGGACCTCCACCTTTGGAAAACGAAGGGCAGAAAATGTTTTGGTTACGAGTAGCTTAGGCTGCAGCAGTTTGTGGTGTGAAAGTGGATTGATTTGCAGAAGTAATGAGTTTAGAGCTTTAAAACAAGAATATGTTTATGCTACTGTACAAACACAATACATGACCACCACAGTGTGCAGGAAGTTTTGTAAAGTAGTCTTATACACAGAACTAAAAGGCAACATCCCTTTATCCTCTAACCAAACTTTTGGTGTGAGAGTGAACATATGTTGAAGACTAACCTCGTTCTCGTCTTGCTCACTTAGTGTCACCTCGCTGTTGGAACGCTGTCTCAAAGGAGGAAACACTCTGAGGCTCAAAGGTGAACCTCTTTCCCCGCCAAACATTCCTCCTCTAAACTCAACATCCTTCGACCGTCGTCTTGGCAACCTGGCAACTCCTCCCCGCACCAACCCAATGTCCGATGACAAAACTGATGAGGACATTATATTGTTGCTGATTTGCCCGTTTTCAAGCAGTGACTCCCTGGACTGCGCACGGCGTGGCGGCCATTCTGCAATCCTAGCCCGGACACCCATTTTGGGCACCGAGAAGCGTGGCTGCATGGCCGGGTCTGTGAGGCCAAGAGCTGGATGGCCATTGGGGGTGTGGCGAAATGGAGTTTGCTGGGGCAACTCTCCCCCCCCTCCTCCTCCTCCATCCAGGAGGTCCGAGGAGGTGCAAGTGACCCCTCTGTCTCTGTAGCTGTTCATAACACCCCAGGTGAGCTCAGGGCAGGGAGGTAGGGGGCTGGCATCCCATGTCAGGAGGGGTGCTGGGAAAGAGGGAGAGGAGAGGCCCCACACACACTCTGCTACGTCCTCCAGCTCCCAAAAACATCGCTTTTACCCGGAAGGCCTGAACAGACTTAATGGTCCATTGAGGACCAGCTTGAGTTGAGACCGGTTCTTCTTTTCCCACTTCTTTTCAGTCTGATGCAGATCTGAGCAAAGACAAAACAAAGAAAAAAAATCTATCATCAAAACAAATCACCTTCAAGATTATCAGCATTTAAATGATGAACACCCAAACATTGGTTAGATTGAAAACTTTTTTGTGTTTCACCCAAAATTTTCTTCACAGGGGTCAAGAAAAGCCGAGCAGGGAAAATTCAGAAAAGAGCGAGTCAGTAAACTGAGAAACACCGTAAGGCTGATAAGACAGAGCGAGAGGGAAAATAAGGTGAGGGGATGTGACAGAGGATTTCTCCCGTAGAGGCTAATCTTCAGGAGGCTGACAAGGGATATTATTATCACACGCTCTTCATTCCAGGGCACACTCAAACTCATACACCCACAGGAACACTGTGTCCGCTCTGTGCAGAATAAAAACACTTCATCAAATAACATCAGACTTAAAGTAATTCCGACCCAAACAGGGGGACAATGTAAACACTGTTGTCTCTTTAACAACTGCAGAATAGACCATGTTCTGTGTCGGAGTGCAGCCCGATGACTTTTAAAATGTGGAGATGAATATGGACTTTGAGAGAGGCGGAAAAGGGCAGAAGCAGAAAGTGACCCAACAGCTGGAGGGTTGAGGTGGGGTAAACCCAGAAATAGAGCAGTTGGGTCGAGTCAAGATGGAGCAAGAAGGAGCAGTGCTCAGTGGACCTCAGCGGCATGCTTTGATGTGACAGTCAGGCTGCATCAAGTTTAATACAAATCCAGTGACCTTGTAAAGACTCTTTACCTGTTTAAACAGAGACAGAGGTTCAACGAAATGATTTTTAGAGTCACTACACATTATACAGGAGAAGCAATTCTTTCAGAACATTTGACTTTCAACCTTCTCACTCTTTTCACTAATGTCACTGGTGTAGAAAAAAAGTCTGAAACCTACCCAGCCATAGCGGATTCATGGCATTAAAATGAATATTTGGAAATGGTTAATTGTTACACTGGTGGTCTTGTGGGACTTGGAGAGGCATCAGTCTTTTTTCATAAACAGCTAAAAAACAAAAGTGGTGCAAAACAGACGAACGCCATGTGTCTTTGCTATATTTGACAGTTTGAAAATGTGACAACAGAACAAAAGGATTTAAACATATTTCATATTTTGGGCTCCAGCTAAATGTGTAAATGTGTTCAATCCATCCATCTCTGCTGTATTCAATATGCTGCTTTTTTGGGGAATTCCCTTTTCCATTCTCTGGTTTCTGTCTAATCTTATTCTCTACTGAGGTCTCCATTTCAGGATTTAAGCTCCTTCATTTTCTTAAGTCTCCGTTCAAACCTCCAAAGTCTTTTTTTTAAAATCTACACCAAATGTTCTCCTGCTTTCAATCATGTGCCCCAATTCAGACTGATATATGAAACATTTTTATCATTCCTTTATTGCACCACATGTGATTCAACCGCTCACACCACACACTTCTCATTGGAGTAGTTTATCATTACCAAGTTTTGCTTAGCTCAGGAGTGGTAGCATTTTTACTCTTCAGACAAGAAGCTGTGAATTATCATTTGATTCAACCACAAGCAGTAAACTGTTCACTGAAGACTCAAATCTTGCCACATTAAAATGTAGCCTCTTTCAGTGATGTAGCTGTCACACTTGGAGACACTGGGGTCTAGTATCAGGAGTTACACTCGCCTGCTGAGAGGAGATCAATATTTGACTATTTACAGTAAGTTTGACTGCTTGCAGAAAACGGACATTAGGAACATTTTTGTCAGGAGAACAAATCTCTGCTTGTCTCGCTCCAGCTGCCTCAGTGTCTGGGAGTTCTACAAACGTCGATTCCTCGGGTGACTATCTCATTATGAGGTCCAAATTTGCATCCCGTCGAGCTTTTCATTGTGTCAAGGCAGCTCAGTGTGGTTTGTGTGTTTTATGATACACAGTGCCTTTTATGAGGCCTCGCTGAATTCATTTTTGGCTCCAAGACTGCATTACTCATTCACTCATACACGCACATGGGCACCATCAACAGAACTCATTCACAGCAAACAAAATCCCCCTATAGTCACACAGATGTGCAAATAAATTACATCTTTGTTTCAGGACAACCAAAGACACTTTAAGGCAAATGGCTTCTGCTCTGATCATGCTCTCTGACAGAGTCTCTCCTCATCCTCAGGGCTGTCCTGTGATCCACTATCAGGCCCAATCCCAGATTATCCGGCCCCAGCTGCAGGAGCTGCAGAATGGCTTCATTATGTGTCTGAGGTGTCGGATGAAGGAGGCAATGGATAGAGAGAGGTCTGCTCTCTGCACTGACCTCTGTCAGAGTGTCTGCAGCCCACAGCCTAACAGTGACAATTATGCCGACGACGTTTTATAGACAGCCACTATATGGTCAATCTGAGAAAGAGGCTGCTGCCCTTATAGATGATCAATACAACAAAACGAAGACTCTGCAGCTTTGCTAGAAGCTTTGTTAGGCTGTACTTAAGCGAGAGAGAAAGAGAGAGATGACCGCCGTCTCTTTGAATGCATTTGTTGTAGAGCAATGTCTGTGATACGAAACTCCCAATGCTGTTTTTTTTTATGTTTTGTGCAGCTGCTTGCTGCTGATGTGATTCTGCTATCTCTTGGTTTTGCTGAGTTTTGATAACAAGCACTTGAAGGCTCAGTTACGAAAAAAAAAATGTTGGCAAATCTGTACCCACGGTTTGCAAATCAGTGAACATAGATGAGCAATCTGTGAACACTTTTTTCTAAACTGACATGATGCAAACTGTGAATAGTTTGGATCTTTATGGATTTTATGTGTTAGGATTAAATCTTTCACTGGGTTTTGATTGCTGGTACCCTTACCAATGCAGCAGGACAGTGTTGGAATATTATAACCAGACCGATAAGATAATAAATCACAAATACTTGTTGGTTTGTGGGTGGTCTGATAGATTCATAGATTGTGGCTGCTGTGTTGGGTGTATTGAAATGGTTTTAACAAGAATCATAGCTTTCTCTCGGTGTATGGAATGATTGAAACTTGTACACAGCAGTTATAATATCGGTGACAGTGATAATAAGAAAACACACTTACGGCCCTCCGGCTGGCCGTTTCTACCAGCTCAACCCGACACCCCACAGAAGTAGGTTAGAGTCCTGTGAACTTTACACTCGCACAATATTCAATTATCCATAAAGTTGTATTTATTTGATGAGGAAAGGATGGTGTATAGATCTAAAGTTTTAAATCAAATCCATTGAAAATAATCCAGGGAAATACCCTTTTAAATGATGGAGATTAATTCTTTATTCTCACGTAAGACCTGAGCAGACACACACAGCTTTGGCCCACACTTCAGAAGATAAAGTGCAGACATTTAATGCCTTTTTATTACTCACATATAGTAATTGTTCAGCTGTGGGACACACCTTCTATGTTTGACTCTCCCTGTCTTTCCCATTCATGCTTCCTGCCTCTCTCCCTGCACACACGCTCAGATGGGGTTTGCATGACGCAGGCTTGGCTCGTGCACCACAAACACACACCGAGGCTGGTAATTACGCTGGTTAGATGGTAGTAATGACAGAGTTAGTAGAGAAGTCCAGATTCCAGAGGAGTGAGTGTGCTGTAAGTGGAGGAGGTGCCTGCTGTCGTATTGCATGCTGGTATGTCATACCAGCGCTGGCAGACCTGAGACCAGTATGGAGCTGTCACATATGTAAAAGGCTCAGAGAAGAAGAAAAGATGTCTCTGTTGTTACAGAGAGAAGCTTAAATACAGAGATCAAAGCAGGGATGTGAACCAGACAGCAGAAGTCAAATAAAGAGATGTATGTGCACAACAAAAGGCTTCTGAACATCTACAATAACCATGTACAAACAAGGGACATGCAGACATTTGCAGTTTACAGTATGTCATAGAAGCTCAGATGGAAAACAGGTTAAAAAAGAATAAAGCCACAAATCCACATCATCAAATCCATATAAAAACATCAGCAGCAGTTACTGTAAGTGTTTAAATTAAGCAGCCATGCCAGTGTGCGAGCTACATTATGGGCTGCTTTGATGAACAGATGGTGGTACATATGACTGGCAGATGGCAGACAGGAGCACGACACTGTAACACAACACAATACAGTACTGGCAGCATCTATGGCACCCTGATGTCTTAAGGAGGGGGCAGACCATGTGGGGGCGGGGTCATCAGGTCCACAGTGACCCTAAGCTCAACCTGAATCATCTTGACTCACTCTGAAGTACAAAGCTAGAAGGTTAACAAAGGTGACTGGAGGTTAGAAACGGAAGACACAAGCAATCAGAAAAAATAGCCTTAGGCGATGGTTGGTAAGGTGTGTACAGTTGGCTACACAGGTGTCATTTTGGTATCAGTTAACCAGAAGATGAAATTCAAAGCTGGAGACTACAAGTTTAGCCTGAGGCACACTTACAAACAATACAAAGAGAGACTGATTTTTTAACCTAATAAGTTCCTTTGATGTTTTCTTTTTTGTGAAAAGCGTTATATTAGGAACATGTCCATTTTAAGTCTATTAGCCACAGCAGATGCTGGTCAGCATTGGCCTTTTTATTGAGAAAACTGCAAGAGTGCAGGCATGGAAACGAGGCACTACCCCACTGCAGACGGGGTCAGCTTTACCACATAATTGAGCTTATTTTAAGAAAACCTGACCTAAAAACCAATGACGATGTTAGTCTACACTATATTTAGAAACTATTCCATGCTTTACTTTCAGCTACTTTGTATTAGCACTTCTTGGGGATGCACCGAATTTGTGCTCCTTTGGCTTACTATTGACAAGTAACTTGTACAACTTCACTTAAAAAAATATTCCTTTAAAGGACTGAAAGCCATGCGACTTAATGTAGAGTTTACCCTAAAAGACTTTTAACTGTTGTTGTTATAGGTATGTAGCATCATTGCGACAGATGCATTCAGGTGTCTGTTAAAGTGGATGAAGTTTCATTCTGCAGAGGAGCAGTTGGAGACGCTCGTGATGAGAGGTTAGAGGGTGACTGTGCCCATGTCTACTACATTTCCTGATGTGATTACAGAGGCAACCTGCTTTTTCCTCCCTCAATAACAGATTTGATAAACAAATTTGTTGTCATGCTGACAAAACCTGCCTCATAAACGACATACCTCTGTGTCTGACAAAATATCTTCGAAAGACCCTCCAGGAACACGTCCCCTTTTGCTATAAACAAACATTAGCCAGGTAATCACATGCATCAGGAAGCTGACTTCTTATTTGCTTTGGAAGATTCATCTGGTCCTCTATCTGTTCAGATGGTTTACAATCAAGCTTTATGATGACTGCACAATATATTGCAATCAATCGTTACACCGATATCGTTTGCAATAAACAAATAGCAAAAGTTGGAATTTATAATCTTATTTTTATCTTTTTTGTTAACAACAAAGATGGCTGCTACTGATGTGGAACACTCTCAATCTGCTAAAAGGTTGGTATTAAAAAACAGACAAACAAGTTGTGTTCAAATTCACAATGTTGGTTACTAAATCATGTCATGTGAGGGGCTATAAAAAATAAAGTTTTGAAGTTGTCATCTGATGTAAAATATGAAGAATGGTAGCACAAACAGTCCTGAACTATGGAAAATAATGAAAATGATTTCCTTCAGGCAATCCTAGAAGCCTAAAACATGAGCGATATACAAACTATCTCCTGACTCTTACCCCACAATCAACAAAAAACAAACTCCACAAGAAACACTGGGCTGGAAGGAAACACACAGAAACCTGTGACTCTGGTCTAAATTGGGCTTTAAGTCTGTCTGGCTTATCTGCCGGCGACATCTCTCTCTCTCTCAGACTGGAGTTTCTCTGAGCCACAGCTCTCCCCGTCACCCTACTTTCCTTCCCTCTCCCTCTCCTCCTCAATCGTTTCCTCAAGACTCTCCCAACCCTGATGTCATTGTCTCAACTTGTTTCTGTCTGCATTGTTATGCTGAATCGTGCTGATGTTGCTACTGTCACTTCCATCTGCCTGTCCGTCCATCAGGCTGCTGTCCCATGACACTGACACAGATTGTGAGGAGGAGGAGGAGGAGGAGGAGGAGGAGGAGGAGGAGGAAGGACAGGGGTTTGGGATGAAAAGAGCAGGAAGCGTTTAATAAGAAAAGATTGAAACAGACAAACACACTCAGGAATCCACGTGACCAGTTTCATGTTTTGCATCTAGTTGAAGGATCACGCAGCCCACATCAACATTCATCATTATTCACTTATTTGGCTGCAGGAGATAGAATGGTGGTGAGAAAATGAGGAGGAGTTGACGAGATGGAGGTGGAGGTGGAGAGGAGAAATGGAGGCCAGGTTTAGAGGAGTGAGAACATGTACTTATACTTCAGTTATTTGAGTTATTTGTTTTATCTTGCTTATCTCCTTTAGGAAACACATGGCCATATTTTACAGAGCTGCTACATATTGTGGCAGCAACTTCAAACTAACGCACCTCTGGAGTTGGAAAATTAAGCAATTGAGGAAGTGCAAAAAATGTGAGGCTGGCTCCAAAAGCCAAATCATCTTTAAGGTCCCATGTTATAATGCCCATCTTCTGTTTTGATTCAATCAAAGCTAAGAGTTGTTCATAAACTTGCATTATTAGGAGGAAAGCTGTGTTCGCTGATGGGTGGGCGTTTTGTATCTGTTCCCCAGGAGTGAGAGGGCTCACCTTAACCCCAGCTCTTTGTCTGTTCTGAGACTGATCACAGTTAGGTAAAATCAGCATTTCCAAAATTGGATCTCTGGAATTCAAAGGGCTCTTTAGAAACCATTAGATGACTTCACTGAGACGACATCCCTTTTTTGTACAGTCTATGGTCTATACTTCACAAAAAATAAAGGCTCTATGAGATTGTAGTTGACAGAAGAGGACCTTAGGGGCCATAAAGAGAGAATTTAGTTTCACCACAGCAGATAAACATCAGTACCAACCTCACAGTTTCAGTTAAGCAAGATTCTCTACACTGCACTTTTCTTTTTTTAAAACCTCATGAATTCTCCCTCACTTAACTTCATGCTTATAATCGATGTTCAGGAAAAGTGGTCAGAAAAGACAAAGGACATACTTCTAAACTTTGGACAGCAGCCTTTGTGTTTTGACTTGACAAAAGAGACTGAACAAAAAGTGACCTGCTTTTTATTATCACTATTAAATGCAGACAAGGATGTGTGTTATCTACCAAACAGCGTGGCAGACACTTCACCCCTACAATGCAGAAAAATATCCAGGTCATCAAGTCAATTAGCCTTTTATCAAGTCCTTTGACCTCACTTTTGAAAGTGAAAACCTTATAATGGAAGTTAAATGAACCATTGTAGATTAGAAGTATAAAGACAACGACAAAGAAAGCAGGTTTTTTTAACGACATTACAAACTACACACTCACCAATAGAAATGCAAATCAGAAACGGACAAAGCACAAACTGATAACGCCGGATTAGCCTGACAGGAAATAGTTTTCAGATTACAGGGTCGAGAGACGCTCTTTAAATAAATGTATATGATCATTCAAGTCGGTAACCACAACCCAAGAACAAGTAGTGAAAAGAAAAAACAACCAAGACAAAATAAATGAAATAAGTTACAAGTTTCTACTAAATACTCTTTCCCACAAATGTGCTACATGAAAATGTGCGTATATTACCTTTACTGCCTACAGGAATTCAGTCTGCAGGGGAAGCCGGTGTTTGAGGTCACAGTGCAGGAAGTGAAGGCTCTGTTATTTAATCTGTAGGAAAAAAGAAGAAATTCACATTTAGTTCAACTAAAGACAACTTCTTTTTAAACCAATCAATTTACTCATAGAAATAAACATTGTTCAGTAAGTTTGTTTTGCTTTGTGCATGTTTCATGTTTGTTTTGTCAAACTTAAGAGATGTTTTTAAAAATGGTCTTTGGTGAACAGTTTCCATATCGTGAGGTGATGACCTTGTCTACAGAGGCATGTCTATTGTATGTGAGGAGTCTGAACAAAGATGCCCCAGGCAGTCTAACTGCACAGCATCTGTACTGTCAACACGTCTGAAAACCTGTTTGTACACACAGACTGGCCCGCACAGAGTAACAACAACAAACACGTCATCAAGCATATCTCCTCTAAAAACGGAGTTTGTTTTCACATTAGCTCAACTAAAAAAACAGAATGATTTAATCAATACATTATTTTATCTGGAAACGTAGAAAACTGCACATTTTTGACTTTGTGTCCATTTACCTGTTCACCCTCCCTCAACCCCACAGCTCTGAATGTGAGGGTGAAGAAAGAGAGAAGGTAAAATAAGAGAGGCTGTGCTCTATGATTAGAGGTCATGGGGCCTATGAACAGGGAGAGGGGGCATAAGTAGGACATGGAGGGGTGAAGTGAGGCCACAAGAGGGGGGTTGGTGGGAGTCAGCAGACATGATGTCCTGAGGGGGAGGCCCAAACTGTCTGACATATACAGTGTTCATCAATGCTGATCAATCAGGGTCCACTACCCTGCTGCTTCATAACACTGTCGTTGGTTTTGTGTGTGTGTGTGTGTGTGTGTGTGTGTGTGTGTGTGTGCAATGTTGGAAACTAGACATTAGTGACAGAGCGAGTGTCTATTTTTCAAAAGCAACGTGTCAGTGCTTAAGAAATCAGCAGCGTCAGCATGGATTTAAAGCTCAGGCTTCACTTCACTGCCCTGAGGAGGAAATTAAAAAGTGGAAGTGAAAACTTCCGATGCATGGCCGACTTTGAGCCATGGACGCCAGCCTCAAAGTGATTATACCATGCAGTACAACTTTTGGTGAAGCAGCCGTTTACTTTCATTTTCAGACACTCAAGTACACGTATTTTCTTTTCTGTTATTACGAAAATGAACAAAAATACACATTAACAAGCCTTACAAAACACATTAAATATCTAGTAGCATGTGACTTGCAAAAAAGAAAAAATCTAAATGATAAAGAAAAGTGTTTATTAAAAATGCAGATACAGAAGATTTCATGACGCTATGAAGATTTTCCCTTTAACTCTGAAGAAGGCAAAACATCAGCTCAGATGAAAACAAAGCTGACTCGGCATGAGAGAGGTAACTCACAATAAAACAAACCGTACTTTTTTTGCACGTTATCTGCATGGTAGCTATCTGATGTCTTCAAATATTGTTGCACACCTGGTTGGCTGTTATATCAGCACCACCGGTGTTTTCACTTTCTTTCTAACACTTTGAAGTTTCCACAGGAGCTGGATGATGCCTCACTTAAGAGCCACGGCCACACAAAAAAAGCTGGAAAAGATGTCAGGAGCACAACAACAGGAGAGAAGGGAATCATACTGACATACCATAGCTGGTAAACCACATGCACACATACCACACAAATACAGGCTCACAAAGTGCTACAGGAATGAATCATCACCTCTACAACACAGGCTCTGCTTAAAATGTTTGGTATGAGGATCAGAAAGATGATATTTTGGCTTTGCACCTGCAGCTTTAAACTAAATCTTGTTAAGTTCTTTGAAACATGTTCTTATGTCAGCAAAACCTGGATGTGAAAGACGGTGCATCTGTTGCAGTATGACAAACTTGGAAACGGTCCACTGGCTCTGGTGATTGTCTGATATTCCAGTAAAGGTTCTCAGACACCACGAGCAACTTTGACAGAAGAACTATGAGCACCAGGATGAAGACAAATGACCTCTGTGGTCTCTGTAAGCAAGGCACTGAAGAAGCAGGGTGGGATTTTACAGCACAACTTCACCAACTACCAAGGTGCATGTGTGACAGGCTAGAAGAGGTCAAAAAGCTCCAGCAACACTGGACTGGAGATCAACTTAATTAACAGATTAGGCCTCTGTAAACAAAAACAGCACATCTGAACATCGCAGAACCTTCAGGTGAAGTGCAGCGCTCAGAGCTGGAAGCAGAGCAGACGTCTGCATGTCCCCGGCTGTAGAGACTCTGGCAGGAGTCAGAGCCACAGAGAATGACTCCACAACTTAATTTACTGCTGACAGTGTATCTGTTACACAGCTAAAACACAGCCGACTCACTCCCTGTCTGTGCGTGTGCATGGACAGCACGAGTTCTGCGTAAATATCTTTATCAAAAAATAAAATCGTCTGCTAGAGGAGACGTGCAAATCAAAGATAACCAGCCCTAATGGGGTAAAAAGAGTTTATAGACCTTTAACCATCATCATGATTACAACAGGATTACTGTCACATCTCTGATGCATGAATATTTCAGAGCAGTCGCTGAGTCAGGACTCCTCCAGAGTTCAGCCCGCTGAAGTTTTATACAAACAGTGAGTTGACAGTGCTCTTATCAAAAAGGCTGAAAGGCAACAACTACCTCCGTGCAGCAGAGTTAGAATAGATTCAGCTCCAATTAAACCAGTTTACTGCTGATATTAACGAAAATGTATACAATTTTTTTACTGCTTGCTTCTCAGTGTGTAGTTCTACCAAGCAGAGCCCAATTGAAAAAAAGAAAAGAAGGTACAATAAAACCTTTTAAAATACAGCTGGTCATGTGTTAACAGTAGTTGCTTGTTGTGGATACCACCAAATAGTCAAGTAACACTTTCAAGCAACATGGCAAACATTTATTGTTTAATTATTCTCAGATTTGAGGATTTGCTGATTTTTAAAATTGGGGGTGCTGATAGCCTAGCTATTATGTCAGGTACCCCAAGTATGGAGGCTATAATCCTCATCTCATTTGCAGCCCTTTTTAAGGCTCTATTAATCAATTCATCTTTATTAGTATGGTGCCAATTCATGCCCAATGTCATCTGAAGACACTCAAGAGCAGGTAAAAGACCCTACTCTTTGTTTTATTATACAAAGACCCAACATTAATCCATCATGAGCCCTGAGCAACGTTTAGCAAAGTTACAGTGGAAAGGAAGAACTTCCTTTAAGAGCTTTACTTATCATTTAATCCTCAGACATTATTTTATTCAAGCTTTCTTAATTGGCAGAGAAACTACAGGCTAACTGCTTTTTAAAAAAAAAACCCTGATATGCTTTCTTCTTCCTTTGTAACTGTCTCATACTAACTTCTTTAATTTATAAATTAGCAAAAAGTTATTCATAAACAAGCGGTCATTTGATGGCATGTAATATATAATATGCATATCCTTTAAATAGTCTGCTGTGGTCTGTAGTAAACAAACTACACGGGAGGGAGGGCAACCCCTGCAGGGAGGGGTGGGCAGCCCCATTCACACTCCAACACTAGGAGGTGGGAACAGCCACACTTTTATCCCTTTCTCGTCTCGTGTTTCTGCACGCCCATCTCTTCTCCCCCTTTGATTCTTGCCACCTCGTCCCATTGGAATTCAAATGAAGCACTGGGCTCCTACAAGTCACTAAAGTGAATGACATGCGGCTCCTAAGATGTAGCTGGGATGTAGGCAGGATGTAGAGGGAGTGTTGCATGCGGGAAATCAATTGTAAAAAAGGATGAATCCATGCTGTTTTAAAGAATCCTCGTGCACGCCTCCAGATGTGCTGATCGATCAAAGCTCATCAATAAGCGAGGCTTTATTCTGATGTAAGATAGATCATATCCCAATGTTTCCCCTATAAATCAGCAAAGTAGGGGTACACCATTTGCAAATCTGATGAGTGTCATGCAGTGATTTATTATTCTTTTCTTGCAGCAAGTCATCAAACACCAAATTACGAACCTTTTATCCAGATCTGCTTCAGGCTGTAATTATCTGCTCACAGAGCATTTTTGACAACAACCCTAAACTGTGCGTAGGTGTTTTTCCACCATTATTTATCAAGGATTATTTTTTTTAAATCATTACTTGCTAAGAAACTGATTGCACACAAAAAAAAACACATTTATACAACTCATATGACTCAGTTTTATAAAGTAGGGAATAAATCTCTCTGGTTGACTGTGTGCTTTAAACTCTGGGCAACGTAAAGGGAAAATACAGTTATGAAGTCATATGCTACACACAGAGCTCCTTTCACCAAACCACTTGGAAATGCTGCTGTAGCTGTTTGATGGCTAAGCTGGAGCTGGTTGCCATAGGAACGAGAAGGTGCACTGGCAAAAAAAAAAAAAAAAAGACACTCCATTTAGACCGCAGGCAATTAGGACACACAACCTGAGAGCAGAGTGATAAATAATAAGACTGAAACCCACTCAGTAATCACCATAACACCATCATCAGCTGGTCACTGAGCAGCATGCCTGTGATGTCACTGCAGCACAATGCAGCAAAGCTCACACACATGCACACGACAGTCGCACAGTATGAGCTTTACTGCACTTCTTTGCCATTTTTTTCATTATTTCAAATTAATTATCGGTCTTTAAAAACTTTCACCCAGCTGTCCTCAGATCTGCTCCTTCTCACTCATGTGGTTAAATCATGCAGTCCATGTCCCCCTCGCTCGGCTGCTCTTCCTCTCTCTGAACCCACGACCGAGCATCAAAGCATGTTAGAATGGCCTCTAAACTCTTTAAACACATGAGAACGCTCAGGGCTGCAAACGTGCCCTCATCAGCAGACTTTCAGCATCTGTTACTTGTTTTTGTTTCCATAGCATAATCTGGTGTAGCAAATTCCTCCTGTTTTCTATACGTGGTTGTCTTATCTCACTATTTGTGTTGAATTAACCGGCCATATGCCAAGCTTTAGAGCCAGCTGCACGGACAGACTTTTCAATTACATCTGCGAGGCTTGACCCAGGTGACAAGGTAAGTCAAGAGGATTAGCAGAGGAGGAAAAC